TCATTGCATTTTATTTTAGAAAATCACTTTATATTTGTTAAGTATGGTCTGAATTCTAGTAAATGTGGAGGAAAAGTCAACTATGTTACGAAAAATCTGGAAAGACCTGACACAGAAACTGGAGATTTTTTGTGACGAGAATATGTGGTTGTATATTCCAAGGCTCTATTTCCCTCAGAAACGGCATGTGGGAAGTTCATGTGTTAAGGCACCAAGTTTGACTTGTTCTAAGTTTCTCTATCATTAAACAAACAAACAACAACCAAACAAATAAGAAAAAAAAAACAAACATTTCAAGACCAGGGTAGGACAAGGTGGCAGAATAATACCTCTTTTAGCATCAACTTGTGACTGATTCTATGTGCTAACTCTGATTCGGGATTATGGTTTCTTACTTTAAAGACTCGGCTGTCCCAATTTATCCTTTGTGTATCTCTATAAATTATTCTTTAGCTTTTATGTAAATCTTATGTGATAAATCACCCTGCCACTTTATTTTTACATTCATTGACTAGTTAAATATTAAGGGCTACCCACTCCAAGAGTACAACATTCAAGAGAACCCTTGAATAACATTTGGAATTGAGCTTGCCTGTCATGAACATTCACTTTTAACATCTTACCAATTCCCTTTAAGATTTTTCCAGCAAAACACCCATTACTGTTCAATAGGTTATATTGCTTGGCTATCTGAGGCGCCCATTTTTCTTTATTCCAGCATAGGAGACTTTAGTATGCTCAGTTAAACCTCAAAGTATACATCTGGAGCCCAAAATCCCCACCCCACTGGCATTCAGCAGATTGCTGGAGAAGTAATCTTTAAGGGATAATGGAAGGAGAGACGGACCATCTAGATAGAGGCAAGTCCTGTTTTCACTCAAAGTTTCTACTCCGAGAAGACTAAATACTCAGATAACAATGTCCTGGTCAGTCACAGATCTTGGACACTCTATAAATGTTCTTGCTTGTGGACTTTCAGTTCACTGAGTTCAAAGGAGTATCTGAGAATTCTTTGGGGTCAGTAATAAGGTGAAAAGGCCTCGGGATCCCATGCCCTCTTTCTAACACCATTACGTCTTTCCTGCGTTTCTTTTTTCTTTTGTTCCTTTATTTTTACCACAGTAATCTGCAATAAGGATTTTCACAAAGAAATTTTAAAAAGAAAAAAAAAAACAACGGGAAATCGTCTTCTGTAGGACAATAAGGACGAGGCTTTGGAAAGTAGTGCTAGATCTTATAATTTCCCTGAGGATGAGTGATATGCACAATCAAAGATTAGCCAGGTGGCTTCTTATGTCGACATCATCACCACCAACAACAACAACCCAAAGGAAAAGGGCAAAAAAACAAAACAAGTTAGATTCCATACTTTAGGGAGTGTTCTATACCTTGCAGCCTTTGAATGGAGAATATAGACAACAATGGAAAGTTACCCAAAGGGTCAGTATAATACAATACAAAGTAAATGACCCAAACCAGTAGATTATTGTAAACTCACATAAACTCCAATTGTGTTGCTTGTGCATTCATGATGGTCAGTTCTATCCAAATATATTATATATATTATATATTTTAATTATATATGCATATATAATTATATTTATTCTTTACAAAACTCCTAGGTATTCGTTATTCTTAGACTCTTTCTAAAGATGAGCACACCAAAATCTTAGAGATGACAAATACCTTGGCTTGACATCAGACAGGTTTTTCCATTGAAAATGTCATGTGAGAATCAGCATTGGAACTGTTTTTCTGGCTGTGTTTATAAAAGCATTATAGTGCTGTTTAGTATCTAATATTAGGCTTTTGATTTACTCTCTAGACCCTCTCTTATATACATTGTATACATATTTTAAAATATGACATGAGCTGTCATTTTACTGTCAGAACAGCACAACTGATGAGTCACAGACTCTCAGGTCAGATTCCTTCTCTCTTTAGAAATTGTTGGGAGCTCTACACTATCTTATTTTCCCATATCAAGTTTACATACTTTGGTTTACTGACATTTTGGATTAGATAGTTTTTTATTGTTGGGGCCTGACCCACACATTGTAGGATTCTATCAACATCCAAGGTCTTAATCTAGGAGGTACATATAGCATCACCCAGTGTGATGATCCAAACTGTCTCCATAATTATCACCAAATGTTTATAGAGCAAAATTTTGCCCCAGTCAAGTATCACAACTCTAAAGTCAGTATGAAAGAACTACCTGAATAATTCTTCTGCTCAATTTCTTTCCTGCATATTAAGAATTTCAAGAAATAAATTATTCAGGCATTGTATTTGTTAGAACAAGACAAATCATGTTTTGTAACAAACAAGGTTAAATGGCTTAACACAAGATGCCATTAACTCTCTAGGAAAGCTGCCCTCCTGAAGTAGTTTGATGATCCAGGTAGCTACAGACTTTCAATAGCTCAGTGTCCACACACACTCACATATCATTACAGCAGTGAAAGAGTGTGGAGAACCATCCCAACTGTCTTACACAGGAAGTGGCACATCACTTCAGCTCACATTTTATTGAAAAGAGCAAGTCACATGTTTGTGTGTAACTTGAGGCAGAGAGGAAGTTTGGTCCTCAATACTTGAAAAGGAGTGTCTGGGAATACTGGTGAGCATCAATCATATGTACCCGTGTTCTCGGATAACTATTGTCTGATTGCCTTGAGTTCCTGACAACATGATTCAAGTCAAATTTGATATACAGGACCTAACCATTGGTTCTGGACAGAATGTGTACATGTGAAACAATGAATAAACAAGATGATATGTATTACATGCAATAAATGATATGCATTAAATTTATGAATTAATTTATTAAAATACATTTTTTGTGATTTTTTAACTTTATGATATTAAATCTTTCAATTAAAGAGTGTAGTAATTCTCTACTTTGTATTTTTTTTATTTATTTTTTAATATGTATTTTTTTAGTTGTACACAGTTCCTTTATTTTGTTTATTTATTTTTATGTGGTGCTGAGGATCAAATCCAGGGCCTCACACATGCTAAGTGAGTGCTCTACCACTGAGCCACAACCCCAGCCCCTATTTTGTGTTTTTTAAATGTTCTCCAATAGATTTCATTGTTCTTTTTGGTTAAATGCATTGTTATTATTTTTAAATCAGAACTGCCCCTACCCCATTTCTTCCTGGCTATTGTTCATACGAAGAAAAGCTACTTGATTTTTGTACATTTTCCCTCTCCCAGGTGTTTTAACCTGAATAAGTTAAATACCTCACATATCTTTTGTAGTTGGATCACCTAGGGAGGTGGTTCTCCAGGTGTAGCTCCTGAACTGGCAGTGTTAGCATCACCTGCGAACTTGTTGGAGTCTCAAATCAGACCTACCAATTCAGAAACTGAGTGTGGCATCCAGGCATAAGGATTTTCAGGTATAGGATAATACTTGAAAAAATGATATTATCTTCTTGTTTTTGCTCATGGTAATACTACCTTTTCTCAGCATTTAATGAAATAGTCCAATGTTGGGTGCTGATGGAGTTAATTTTGATTTTTATTTGAAAGAAATTTGTCTTTTGTTAGTTTCTGGTGTTTAGCATATTTGAAATGTCCTAAACTATAAGAATTTTATATAGGGGTTTACCGGGGTGAAATGAAATCTTAGAGTGGTTTTGATTTGCATTTCTCTAATTGCTAGCAATGATGAACATTTTTTTAGAGAGAGAAAGAGAGAGAGAGAGAGAGAGAGAGAGAGAGAGAATTTTTTAATATTTATCTTTTATTTTTCGGTGGACACAACATCTTTGTTTGTATGTGGTGCTGAGGATTGAACATAGCGCCGAATTCATGCCAGAAGAGCGCGCTACCGCTTGAGCCACATCCCCAGAACATTTTTTCATACATTTGTTGATTGATTGTATATCCTCTTTTGAGAAGTGTCTGTTCAGGTCCTTGGCCCATTTATTGATTGGATTATTTGTTTTTTTGGTTTTTAGCTTTTTGAGTTCTTTATATACCCTAGAGATTAGCACTCTATCTGATGTGTGAGGGGTAAAGATTTTCTCCCAAGATGTAGGCTCTCTATTCACTTCACAGGTGGTTTCCTTTGCTGCAAAGAAACTTTTTAGTTTGAGTCCGTCCCATTTATTGATTATTGATTTTAATTCTTGCACCAAAGGAGTCTTATTAAGGAAGTTGGGCCCTAATCTCATATGATGGAGATTAGGGTCTACTTTTTATTCTATTACATGCAGGATCTCTGGTTTTATTCCTCGGTCCTTGATCCATTTTGAGTTGAGTTTTGTGCATGATGAGAGATAAGGGATTAATTTCATTTTGTTACATGTGGATTTCAAGTTAGACGAACTCTAGATAGGGCAGAGGGGTTGGAGGGGAAGGGAGAGGGCATGGGGTTAGAAATGATGGTGGAATATGAAGGACATTATTATCCAAAGTACATGTGTGGAGACACAAATTGGTATGAATATACTTTGTATACAACTAGAGATATGAAAAATTATGCTCTATATGTGTAATAAGAATTGAAATGCATTTTGCTGTGATATATAAATAAATAAAGAGAAAGAAAGAATTTTATATTGGGATTTAAACAGGAATGAATACTTTTAGCAAATGTTTTTCAGAATTTATTGAGGCAATTATAGAAGTTTTCACCTTTAATTTGCTGTCATTTGAAATGTTTTAATGGATTTGTGCACTTTATGCATTCATGGAATAAATACGACTTGATGAGCTTATTTTAATATATTGTTAGATTTGGTTTGCTAATGCCCGTTTCCTGACATTCTTGTTAATTGAATTATTTGTTTTTTCCCTACAGTTATATCAGTACTCCTTACCTTATAATAATAATAATAATAATATTGATCTCAAATCCTTAAAAATCCAGTTTCTCTTGTGCCAGATTAAGAGGTTAATTGCTTTTTAATAGTATGTGTTTTATGCAGTTACTTAGAACTCAAATCAGAACAATAGTGACAGTTGACCTCATATGTTCTCATTAGAATTTTACCAAATATCTGGCTGGGTAGTTGCCCCCGCCAAGTGGAACATGTAACCATCAAACTGAAGCATGAGTTGGGGATCACGGCTGTCATGAATTTCCAGACGGAATGGGATATTGTCCAGAATTCCTCCGGCTGTAACCGCTACCCGGAACCCATGAGTCCAGACACTATGATTAAGCTGTATAAGGAAGAAGGTTTGGTCTACATCTGGATGCCAACACCAGACATGAGCACTGAAGGTAGGGATCAGAAGAGCTGCTCTAGCTTCTTGTTGAATGTGTCTCAGTCTGTCTGTCCTTGTGTCTATAATTGAATGTCTTAAATATGAATGGTATAAGTGTATAAATATAAGGTTTATATTTATAATGGTATAAATGTATAAATATAATGGTATGAATGTATAAATATAAGGTTTCAGATTTAATATATTTAATGTATATCTTTTGGTGCTTTGGCTAAGATTCTGTTTAACTTGGCTTTTTAAATTTGCTTATTTATTAAAAATATATTCATGATGTATCTACTATGTGTGTGACGTTATGCTGGTTGCTGGGAACATGACATAGAAAGAAAGGCAGGTACAACTCCTGTCTTTGTGAAGGTTATAGTCCTATAGGGATGTTGTACATTAGTAAGTAAAAATAAAAACTTAAAAATATGAATTCCTTTGTTAGGAAGATACATAGATGATACTGTGAGAGCGACAGATAATCCAGGATGGTTTCTCAGGAAGTGATGTCTGAGCTAAGGTCTGAGGGTAGACTGGTGGAAGAGTGAGTGGCAGAGAGACTCCCAGGCAGAGGGGCCGATTAGGATCCCTGTGGCAGGAGAGGGCGTGGAGTGTTGAGGGAACTGGAAGACCAATGGGGCTGCAAATGTGAGAAGGAGGGAAGACCTCTACCAGGATTTGGGCCACAGTAAGGACTTTATACTGTCCTAAAGCAGTGACAAGCAGATGAATGATTGGGAAGCTGGGAAATGCCAAGATTAATTTTTTTTTTCTCCAGAAGTACTCTTTGATTATAGTTGGGAGAATGGATTGAAGGTGAAGCTGGGGGGTCTGTGAGGGGGTGAGTGAAATGGAGAGAGTGTGAGAGATAACGCAGGGGAGCCAGGGTATTGATAGGAGTCTTTATTGATGGCACAGGTGCTTGCTGAGCAGGTCTTTGTGAAAAAGGAATTGTGTGTGGCTAGGGTACGGCCAAGGAACCAGAGACAAATAAGGCATGATTTGGACTGAATGGCAAGAGGTAGTAAGACGAGTTCAGAGTGTAGTGCAGACGGAGGTGGATGTGAGAGGAATGAGGTACATGCTCTGGAGGACTATGGCTTTGCAGCAGCCCATTCTGTGGAGGAGCACAGGGAGGCTTTGTGAATGTCATGGCATTTGGCGTAGGCATGACCTAGACAGGCAGGTATGGCTGGAGAAAGGGCAGGCTAGGGGAGATCAGCAAGGTTCATAAGCAAGGGATTTTAAAGGAATGATCTGTATCTCAGCCTGGTTGGAGAATGAAGTAATTGTTGCAAAGGAGCCCAGGCACCTGTAGCCAAGAGAACAAAGTAGCTGATAGTATCAGCATCCTGTCAGCAGGGGGCAGCAGAGAGCTGTGGAGATGGCATGGGCTAAGGGAATTTAGGGAAAACCGGTTGTTCTGAAGAAGGAAGGCAGGGCTGCCTAGACAGGAAACCAGGAAGTGTTTCCATCATCAGCCCTCTTCCCTACAATGCACATTAGGCATCAAACACAATATTGAGAAATTTGCATACATTAACTCATTTAATGCTTTAACAGGACTCTGGTTAGATGTTGTCATCTCCATTTTGCAGAGGAAGAGACAGGTACAAAAAGTTAAGTAACCTGGTCAGGCCATAGAACTAGAAAGAGGCACAGCCTGGATTTCAAGGCTGGCAACCTGACTCAGAACATTGCTCCAAAAACCAGACTACAAAGCTTCTCTCTGTGTTCTCACAAATACTCTTGCAGATCCTATGGACCCACTAGTTTAGTCTCTGACACTCACGACCAACTGTTGTTATGCACAGCCATGACTTGTAGGGAAGGTAGCTTATCTCCCCCAATGTCAATGGTATGCAAGGTGGGAAAACCTATCTCCCTGGCCACCTTGATCCTGTAAGGACCTCAGGTGGTGCACGTGGCCAAACTGGGCCTCCTGTGGGTCTGTGTCTGAACTGACTATCACTGAGGTTGGAGTGTGATTTTTGTTTCTGAAGGTGTGGAGCATTATTGACAGTTTGTTTTTTTTCCCCCTTGGTAATCTGATCCAAGGGAGCCTGATTTAGTCTTGAAAGTTTGGCCCTTTCTTAAGGAAGAAAAACATATCAAAAAAGAAACTTCATTTACATAGAAGAGCGTTGGTTGAATATAGGTGATCCTTGCCCTGCCCAATTTGTTTCTCTGATTTCAAAGCAGAGAAAATTGTTAGGGTAGTATGACTAGTTCCCAGGGAGCATTTTAATTTAAGTTTCTTTGATTCTGACCTGATAATATTGTTACCTGCTGAGCAACACGGTGGGGGGACAGACTGGGAAAAGTTAAGCTAACACTATGCAGAGCCTCCGTTCCCTCCTATGCACTGATCAAGTGAAGGCCATGCTGCTAGGAGGTAATTTGCTTGATATCTTGGAGGTCTGCAGAAGCCTGAGGGAAAACATAAACCCATAAGCACACATTTTTGTTGTACTCAAATCTTTTTTGGGGTCATTGGGTCACTAGGTCTGGTGCAGCCGTGACCATCTTTCACACAGAGGCAGTCGGTGCCAGCAAAATGAGACCTCCCACCGGAAACAGGTGAAACTCTAAGACTAAAAAAAAAAAAAGAGTTTCTTTGGTTCACTAAACCTGAAACCTGGAGGAGTAAATCAAAGAGTTAACAACCATTCCTGAGCACCGGGAAACGTTTTACCAGTAGATTAATCTATGTGGCTTCACAATATTAGCACAATGAAAGTATAGATTAGTCCAGCTGAATATTTTTAGAACTCTAGAGAAAAGATCCACTTGGAAGCATTTTGCGCCACAGCACAATGCTGTCAGATAAAGTCTGAGAAGGGAGACAGGCTGTTAGGCTGTCCTGTCACTACTGGTTGTCACAGACCTGTTACAATCAATGGTGCTATTGATCTTACTCTGGTATACTTTGTCATATGTGGAGGGGTCGTTTAGATTGCTCTTTCATATTTTTTAAAATGTAGTTTGCGTCTTTCACTTGAGAAATGAAAATCCCCCCCACCCCCCGCATCCAGCACCCACTTGTACAAAACAAACCAAATCTACTCATTAAAATGTCCCTCACATAGAAAGGATTCAGGTTGAGTCTTGACCTTTGTTCCTTCAGTGCTGCGTACGACAGATGGTCTTCCCTTGCCTCCCAGTTGAGTTAATGTGCCTCCCGGAGTCCTCAGCAACCCCCCTGTTATTTCTTCCAGCCTGAGTTCTTTTCACTCAGCAGACTGCATTCGGCTCTGCCATTGTGGGAAGATGCTGACTTTGGAGCCAGAACATCTGGCCGCCAGCCCCAGACCTCCGTGTGGCTTGTGATACCGGCAGGTTAGTTCCCGCATTGGGAAAGGGGAACAGTAATTTCTGCCTTCCTGGAGGGTCACAATAGAATAAGATGAGTGATATGAAAGGGCTTTGAAAGTCAACAAGTTGGGATTATATGATTAGTGCCTAGTTGTAAGTTTCTACCAAAGAATGTTCTAGACGAGCTGAACCTTCTAATCCAAAGGTGGAAAAGAAGATGTGCACAATATAATAATGACATTTTATGTGTCTGCCTCTGGAGTAAGAAAGGAAATGTGTGTTTGTGTGACTGAGGAAGGCTGAACAGTGTGCCATGAATAAACTCTTCAGGTCAACCTCAGGTAAAGCATGCCTTTGGGGTTTGAGACCCTCCCTTATCTCAGACCCTAATGCTCCAGGCTGCTCCACATTTCCTGCCCAAATTCTCTCTCTCTTCTCATTCTCACAACCTTGCCTCACTCAGTGGTGCTCTCAGGATGCTATTTTAATCATTTTAGGATTGGGTTAGTCTGGAGCAGGTGTAGGTTACAGTTGGGAGAGAAGGGTCTAGCTCTGTCTCAGATCAAATAGGTACTTCTGTCTTCTTCTGTTGTTTCATTTTTGTTCACGGTTTAATGAATGTTTATTGAGCATCTACTGAGACCCAAGGCTCATTTTAAATTCCAAAGTGAGAAACACAGATGGTAGTGTGTTTTGTTTGACCTACATAGGGTTTACAGTTTTTCAACTTTGTTGCCAACACTTAAAATATGGAACATTTTAAATGAAAAGATCTGGAATTTTGCCTTATCATGAGGTATTACTGTCTTTAAGAATGGAAACTCCTTATCAGATTAAGTTCTGCATGGAGATTATATATAGGAAACTTAAAATTTATCGACTCTGACTGATACCAACTCTAAATTGTTTAGGGTATATTATGGTGAGCCCTGATCTTATCCATCTTCTTTTTGTTCCATGGTGGGTTTTGTATTACTCTGGGCTCCCTTGGATGGGTTTTCAAGCAGGGAGATGGGCCTGGGTGCAGAGAGTTTCTGGGTGAGGCAGAGGTGCTACATCCCACGGAGGATGCTGCTCTTCAACTGGATAAGAACAGCATCATGACTGGGTAAGTAGGGTGGGAATTCAGACTCACAAGATGGGGGGGGGGAAGTATCAGAAACCAGGTCAGTTAGAGAAGGACCTCAGTTGTTAAGATCAGAGGCTCTGAACTGTCTTGGCTGGAGTGGCCACTTAGGGAATAACTTAGGGCAACCTTCTGTGACTCTGTTCCTTCATCTAAAAGTTAAGGATAGGAATGGAAGTGGCCTCATAGTTGGTAAGAGGTGGTTATAAATGAGCAGTATCACGCAGAATATTTAGTGCAGAATGCTTGCCAGGTAAAAAGGGTTCCATATGTATTATCTATAACTAGTCAGGGCAGGGTGCAGTCTCTAAAGGTCAAACTGAAGTAGGGCTCTGGCTGAGGCCAGGTTAGGATGGGAGAGCACTCTGCACTGGCTACTTCTCTGAGCTGCTTCCAGTGACTTATGTTTGTTATTTAAATATTTGACAGATCTTAAGTGGGATTTTTCAGTGATTCTGGAAGAAGGCTTCCGGTGACTGTTACCCCATGTTGGTGAAGCCCCTGTGAAGCTGGGCACCTTTAGTGCACATGGCAGCTGACACACACCCCTCAGAAGGATGTGTCTGAAATGAGAGAGCCTCAAACTCACACGCATCCCTTTTTAACTTCTGAACAGAGCACATGCTTCTTGATAAAACCTTTCACAGATAAAAAGGAAGGGGACGGTATTACATCATTTGGGCTCTTTGGAGCAGACCTGTCCTTGGGGAACCTCTGAGCAGACGGAGGGAAGAGATCCTGACTGGGTCTGTTGAAGACTTGGTTCGGCAGGCTGGCCGCAATGGCGCCATGCAAGCTGAGCACTGGAGCTGGACTCCTGGGTTCAGCACCTTCTACTGCAAATGACCACTGTAGTCTATTTATAGATTGGGCAATTGACAAAAACAAAACAAAAACTAAATTAACAACATTCTTTTTTATTTCCTCCCAAAGAACATAGTGTCTGGAGAAGCAGCCATAGCAAAGAACTTGTCACCTGATGCTAGTGGTGTCGGGAGCAGGAACTACAAGTGGGATTCCATTCCCACCCACCCAGAATTTCTTAGAGCAAACCTCCTTCCAACCCTGAGTAGGACACAAGCCCTGCAGTTAAGCAGGACACACGTCTCAGCAAGATCAACCCAACTAACCTAGGAGGCTTTGCCACCTCTGATCCCCTGACTCAGATGGTGAATCCACCACACAGTGCTTTCCCTAAGACCGCAGTGAGGCGCCTCATGGGCTCATCAGATGCTCTCCACACCTTGTTGCATCTCCAGGACATTTAGTACCTCTGGGAGGGGACCACAAGGAACTATGGCAGCCCCGCCCAGCTCCACCTCAGAATACCTGAAACCAGGCCTGCAGCATTTCATGAGTTAAAATTCATGGCTCAGTTTGGACACTGGGATCAAGATAGAGCCTATGTCAGGGCAATAGGCCCTAAGGAGAGAGTGATGCGGCCTAAGGCACCAACACATTCCTTTCAGACTGGTTCTAAACTGCTGGCTGGTGCCCGTAGCTTTGAATCTCTTCATTAGGAGACTCACAGAACATGGTGGCTAGGCTAGACTGTTATCCTGGCTTCTTTGCAGGGTCTCCCACTCCTGTCTCAGTGTGGTGGGTGTGAAGCTGAGGTAGACAGGTGACTGAGAGGACCTTCAAGGGGAGGGCGGTGTGTGTGTGTGTGTGTGTGTGTGTGTGTGTGTGTGTGTCCGTCCGTCCAGTTCCATTGTGTTGTGTTAGCTCCTTCAGGGCACTTGTGTTTCAAGAGGGCATCTAAAGAGGGAGGGCTAAATTCACTTGACTGCATTTCCTGGGGATTCTAGACCTTGGGGCAGGTCAGCAGGTGAGATCAGCAGGTGAGGGAGGGGCCTACCACAACTTCAGTCATTCAGTGGGATGGCAAAATGTAGGCGGGCAGGGCTCATCGGTGTGATCCTGAGAGGATCCTTCTGGGGCCATTGTGTCCTTCTGTGGAGGACAGAGAGCACCTAGAGAACATGGAGGTATAAGTATCCATCTATAATCCGGGCTCTGTATGGTTTCTCTGTTTTATTTCTTCTTGATTTCATTTACTAAAAAACTTCAACTCACTATTAAAAATCTCTCTAGTGGGAAGCTGTGAGCAGAAAGCATCCAGTAACTCCTCGGATGGTTTTAGGGGGCGCCTCTGCTTTGCAGGATAAGAGGAGGGAGTCCCTCAGCACTCAGCAGGGCACAGGACATCTTCTCTCCGAAGGAGAAGACATTTGGATAACCTAATAATTGAAGTAGCCAGCATAAAGTGGTAATAGCTATAATCATAGTTGCCCAATAACATAGAAATTGAATCAGTTTTAGTATTCACTGCATCATGGTGAAGTAAATGATTGGTTATTCCACATATATCAATTATAAGTTAGCCACTCCATTTGACAAGGGAAAATTAACATGAAATTCTAGTTCAGGTTTCATCTGTCTAATTAATGGAAAAGATTGATTCTTTCACCAATGTGGACCAGTTCTGTGTTTCACATTTATATGGAAGAACATTTTATGTTAAATGAAATTCAGGTGACAGAATATAACATGCTTTCTTTGAAATCTTCCCAAACCACTGACCAATCTCTGTGAGCCCTGGTAAGAGATGTACATATCTATTTTGACCGTGGATGACAGTTAACTTTTCTTTGGAGGGAAATTTGCATTGATGGTAAAGCCACTGGGAGGAGCAGCGACATTCAGTGAAGGTTCAAAGGGACCCACCAGGTGTCTCTGGAATGCTCTTTCCACTTGGTTATCGGGCTCTAAGCTCGCCTCACCTCTGCCTTCCAAGCAGAGCCCGTGCTCACGGCCGTGCCTCACTCTGCCTGGCCCTGTGACGTGGCGGTGTGCTGGGGGAGGTAACAGTGACATACGGAGGTCTCATGTTCACTTGTGTGTGCTGTGCTCTCTCCATCAGGCCGAGTGCAGATGCTACCGCAGGCAGTGTGTCTCCTGCACGCGCTTCTGGAGAATGGACACACCGTGTATGTTCACTGCAACGCAGGGGTGGGCCGCTCCACCGCCGCGGTCTGCGGCTGGCTCCACTACGTGCTGGGCTGGAATCTGAGGAAGGTGCAGTACTTTGTCATGGCCAAGAGGCCAGTGGTGTTCATTGATGAAGACGCCTTGGCCCGGGCACAAGAGGACTTTTTCCAGAAATTTGGGAAGATTCATTCTTCGGTGTGTAGTCTGTAGCTGGCCAAGCTGCCTCCCCTTCCTCCCAGTTTTCTTAAGGATCCTGGAGTGATGTTAGGAAAATGACCTAGAAACAAAAGCCCCACTTGAACTGGGAGGACTATGGTGGGTGTTCCTCCAAGCTGCTCCTGTGCTGCTGGGAGTGGCTTTCCATCAGGCGTTGGGCTGTACTTTACAAAGGAAGCTATGATTGACACAGGAGAAAGGCCGAAAGCAGCTGGGTTGTGCAATGTTGTTATAGCATCAGACACAAAAAGAATGCACGCAGTCCCGGCTGCCTGCGGGCAGAAGAGTCTTTTGCTTCACAGGTACTGCGTGGGCTGTAGCATAGATTTGTAAGGGCAATTTCTCCTTGCATTGTGATTCTTTGACATGCAAAATTAAAGATCGCAGGTTATGTGGCTCTCATCACTAGACTATTATATGTGTGTTTACACATGCGTACACACACACAGCTTTTCTACTGAACTGAACTAACATTATGGTCATTTGCCAAAGGAGGGAATAAGGGTAGAAACTGAACTATGACAAAAGAAGAGCTCATATAGACAGAAAGCAGTGATTTTCTTGGTTTTTGTGTCCTGTTTTGTAGTGGTATAGTGTACTCCTAGGCATCTCCTTCCCTATGTACCCGAAGACCCCATGTGATAACCAAGGTAGACTAAGCTCTCTATTTGTTTTAATGAGTTTGCCCAAAGTCTCACAACCAGTCAGGGAGGAGCTGGAGTTTGTAGCTCATGTTTATGTGATTCAGTGCTATTTTCCATCCAATTTGTTTTCCACCATAGAGTAGTGACTTCAGTTTTGTTCCTCTCAGAATAAGGTTGTTCCCCTGCAGAAATTTCTACAGCGAGAAATGCAACAGTGTTCAAATCAATTACCAAAGAATTTAGGTAAGTATTTCTATTTTGTACAACCTAATTTAAGACATAGTGGGCTGTCTCAAGACTTGAGCCATAACTCAGGAACTGTATCACAAAACAGAACTATATGAGAGGAACTGTATTACCAAAAAAAGCCCGAAGAGCCAAAATCTTTAGGTCATTGTTTCACAGCTTGAGTCTGATCCTGGCTCAACCACCAGTTTAGTGCAACACACAGTTACTGTGCCTCCAGAACACACAATTCATTCCACTAAGTTCTACAGGAAACAAAGATGAGCAAGATGTTGCCTTCAAAAGTGTACACCTTGGAAACAGACCTGCGTTCAACACCCTAGACATTGACCTGTGTTCAACCAGCCATAATACAAAATTGAGTTGTGCTCTCGAGGTAAGAATACAGGAAGAGAAACACCTTTCCATTGAGTACCTGTATGTGGTGTGTCTACCATTTTATTCAGTTGCACCTTCATAATACAGCATGAGGGAGGCTTCATTTTCTCCATTATTTAAATGAAGAAGCAAAAGCTAAGAGAGGTTAAATCAGTGTCAGTTGCCGCATGCAGAGTAAATGGAGTGAGAGACAAAACTAGATTTGTTTGACTCACAGTTCACACTTTAAAAACTTAAACTATAATGCTTATTTATTTTTCTGTTTCTTCTTTCTTCCACAAACATGTATTGATAGATAAGAGAGATTCTCATTCAGGAGGTATAAAAGGGGATAAGAAGGACCCAGGGTGAGTTCCAGTAGAGCTCAGAAGAGGGGGAGATGTCTTATAACCATGACACTTCAGGGGAGGTGACATTTTGATATTTGCTTTGGGCAGAGGAGGCTAGATAGGAAACATTTTCTTTTTCTGACAGATTTACAAAATTCAATTTATAAACCAGCACTGGATAGTGGGAAGTTCAGTTCTCTTGCTAAAAATAGTTAGAAATAGTCATTGTATCCAGGAACCCATTTATGTGTTATATAAAATTTAATCTTAAAAATGGAATATTTTTAACTAATATACATAAGTGGTGTGTGTGTGTGTGTGTGTGTGTGTAATAAATTTCCTTAATGCCTAAGAAATACAGCTGTATATTTCTACTTTATAATGGCCTTTTGGGATAGATTTCTTCCTTTTTTGCTCTGATAAAACCATTTTAAGACTATTACAGAATGTTTTAGAATAACCTCTTTTGTCCTCAGTGAATGGAATGTCTAATATATTTTGAAATCACCAGGATTTTTGGTTAAATAAAAACATTAGAAAAAGACCTTTGTCTCTCGAATTGTTTTAATGTTATCAACTTAGTCTGGAATCTAGAGAAATCAACTGGGTTTTTTTTTTTTAAATTTTTTAAAGGGGGCAGTGAGCTGAGCTAAATTGTTCTTTCTTTGTTGTCCTTACTCTGTCATTAACCTAGCAAAATTGGCAGTTAAATGATAGAGGAAGTCAACAGCAGGGCCACCACAAAGAAGTGATGAAAACGTGTAAGAATGGGTCTGACAAAAATCGTATCACATATGGTGTCCTTAGCTGCTTGTCATTGGCATTAACTAAATTTTGTGGGGGAGGGTGCTGGGGATTGAACCCAGGGCCTTCCACATATTAAGCACTCATCCTACCACTGAGTTACACCCCAGGCCAGCAAACTTCAATCACAGACTTCTCAAAGAAAATTGTATTATGGTAAAGAAATATCCAAGTAGGGTTGTCTTCTTTCAGACTTTTAACATTATCCTTGTTTTATTTTATAGACAAAGAAATCTGAAAGAATACACACACTCTCTTCTGGCAAATATTAAGGTGTAGGTGAAAACCACTTGGTCGGGCCTAAGAAATAATGATTTAAAAATGTGGTTAGGATTTTGAAAATGACAAGGAGGTAATGGAAGGAGAGATTTGCAAATGTGTTAGAAAAGAAGTGAAAACTTGCCACAGGTGAAAAGAAAAACACCGAATAGCTAAACATGGAGTCAGATTAGAAGTTAAAACTGAAATTATCTTAAAGGTTTATAAACCATCACTGGATAATATAATTATTTTACAGAAGAGCAAAAGGCCCAGAGATATTAACTCAGTTTTCTGTAGCAAAAAAATTGTACTCCAGAGAAAGAGGGTACCCCAGGTACACAAGTCAGAGGAAGAGGGTACCCAGGTACACAATTCAGAAGTAGAGGGTACCCCAGGGACAGGTCAGGAGATTTATTGTGGTATTGAGGAATCCTAGAAGTGGTGGGAATGAGGTCAGATAGTATTTGTGGGGAATAACTGATAGGTGGAAATTGGGATAAGTAGAAGAAAAATGATTAAAATGAGAAAAAGCAAAGAACATTTCCAAAAAAGAGAACAAATA